GTCTCAGAAGATCATTCTGCTCTCCGCTGAAGTTGCTCTATACCAGTGGGGGCCAACCTTTTTGGCAGGGGTACCACAAATTAGCCTGAAATGCTGCTCTGCTCCCTTTCCTCTGCCCAATCTGTTGCTCTACTTTCTTCTCCCTCCCCTATGCTTCTGCCAGATCTGCTTGTGCCCTCTGCTTCCTGCCCATTTTGTTCCTGTGCCTCCTGTCTCCTTCCTGCCCTGCCACAGGCCCCACACAGAGGCTGCCCATGCCCATGCCCCTTGAGGCACATGTGCCACAGGTCGACAACCCCTGCCTTGCCCCCATGCCACATCTGGTGACGCGATTACAATGCAGTTCCACTTTGTCATTGACATGGGAACCTAACCATATTTGTAAATGACCCTAAGGAACTGGACCACGCAAATAAGCAGTCCTAGCGAGCCCCAAATCCTGTGTGTGCAGCACTCTTCACAGATCCACCTTTGCTCTCTAGTGGTGCAGTATAAACCCTGACAAGGAAATCCAACCATTTAGCACACAGATCTGTTTACATGGCAAATGTTTGCAGTGCGTTCTGGTAAGCTCCCATATCAGACTGAAGCAGCATGAAGACTATCTATCTCTGGCCCACACCTATTTCATTCATACATATATATTTTTGAATTGGTGGCATAGGAGTACCTTGTATGTCTGTAGGCAGCTTGACATCCTTGAATGTCCAAGGAATAGTATGTTCTGCTCACTGAATACAGAGGGAGTTCAGTTTGCAACCTTACAGAGCACAAAACCTCTTCCAGCAAAAGACTAGCAGAGCGAGAGAATATCTGTCAACTTCTCTAACACGTAAGACTGGATTTTCAGTGTTAAATGGGCTGTCCCTGTCGTTATAACTTGCATTCCAGGACCGATGGGATCTACTTTCTGCAGGGCAAAACATCAACATGCACTTCCTCCAAAGTTTAATTCTACAACTTGTCTAATATATTTACCAATTATCTGGAAAAAAGAGGAGAGGTGGCAAAATCCGCAAGGACATAAAATGATACTAGTTAGTAAAGACAGACAAATTTCCGAGGACCTAGCACAAGCAGGTGAATGGGCCTCGCAGCCGCATCCAGACAGGAGTGGCCATGCAGTATGTGGTGCTGCAGACCCATTTAAGCATGTCCTGCACTGTTACCTTGCAGCATGGAGGGTTTTTTTTTGACCCCCAGACATCCAGGGGTCAAAAATCCCACGCAGAAAAAAAGCAGGGCAGCGCACATGGCGACAGCACGTGCTGCCCAACACCGGAGCCTGGCCGCCAGAGCTCTGCTCCAGCTGGCGGCCAGGGTGCAAGCTGCAGGAGTGACGTAACTGCAGCCTCCCTGGCCCCCAAGTAAGACTGCTAGGGCCAGCAACTGTGCTGGCCCCAGCCTCCCCCACCCCACCTGGGGTCACCTGCTGCACACCAGAGGGCATGTGGACAGCTAGCAGTGCCACAAGGGGTCCTGCTCCTAGTTGTCCCCAGGGAACCAAACATCCACACTTGCCTGGACACAGCCTACCATGGCAAACGAAGCAAAATGTTAGGATGCATCGAGAAAGGGGTGGGAAATAATAGTGGCAATGCTGTCAACCCACAATGCAGTTCAGTGGGGTGTCCTTGACTTAGGGTGAGCCAGCAAGGAGATGAGGTGTCTCACATGCTTTATATTAAGTAAGTGCCTGAGCGCTGGATTGGGGCCAGCACCCAGAAGGGGAGCAAGCTTTCAGGACCGTGTTTACCAGTGCTTCTGGTTTCCTGCGTGTTAAACAAGATGTAGCAGAAACAGAAGTTCAGGAAAGCATGATGAAAATAAAAAGAGAAAAATTCCTCTGGACACTATTTGATATGATTAGGAGTTTAGTTTAGTGAAAAGATGAGCAAGGAGGCATGAAAGTATACAGAATAATGAATAGTATCAGAAGGGCAAATGAGGTACTCCTATTGCCCCTTTTTCATAATATAAAACGGGGACATTCAAGGAAATTAAAATGCAACCAATTTAGCATGGCTTTCCATAACGTTCCCCTGGAAGGCCTCCCGATTTCTCCTCTGAGGTATCTGGTTCTTGCCATCTCTGAGGACAGGATCCTGGCATGTATGGACCGCGGGTGTGACCTGGTGATCCAGTTGTTTTTGTTTTCCCTTTCAACGTATGCTTGAAGAGAGATGTTCTGTGAATTGTGCGAACTGCCAGTAAATCTTTATTGCCCAATACGAACAATTTATGTACGGTGATGAGCTGACAGAGCTCTGTAAACTCCTTAAAACTAGACTAACAGGATTCTGCTCTCGGGAGCTCGGTGTGCTGGCAGGGTGACAGCCAGGCCCACACGTGTTGCAAGACAAAGATGGTCGAAGCTTTCCCAGGGTCTGTCAATACCATTCTTTATTTTTCCCAGTATCAATCTCCAATACCAATATGAATACAATCGCAGTCAAAGTAGCAACTGGATTCCCACCCCAGCTCCAGGACACAATGTTTTGGCAGCTGTACAATTTAAAAATGTTGGGAGAACATAAACAAAACAACTGAGCCTCTGAAGAGAGTGAAATGAAAACAAAGAGAATGAACTTTAAAGGCCCGAAACAACCTCCCCCCCAGCCAGAACGACGACAAAAAACCTCCTTCTCTACCCCCCGGACAATTCAGACAGACCTGGCCATGCACACGCCCTCGAGCTAAGAGGCCTGTGCCCCTTCCACACGCTTTCAGACACCAGTGGGACAAACGAGCTTTCTCAGGCCGTGCCCTTGAACTTGGTTGGGTGATTAAAGACTACCAGTCCTCCACGCTCCGCTGTCTGTTTCCACACTACCCCCGTTTTCCTCTTCTTTCCTTTCCCTTCTTTCCTCCTCTCAGGCAGTTCAAGAGTCACTGGCCCAGTCCCTTCTCTGCCCCCGACATTACACGAACTAACCTTTGTTAAACAAACCACGGTTTCCTTTCTGCACGCCTGCCACCTGGAACACCGCAAACAAGGGTGGTTTCAAGGGGAGCCGCGTTGTATAAAGGGGCTCTGAGCAAGGCAGTGTCATCAGCCACCTGGGCCCGTGCCTGCACCTGTGCTCCTGCCACTCGCACGCGTGCCCGGGCACGTGCGCTGCGGGCACCTTCATGCCCCGGGCTCTCCCGAACGGAAAGATGGAGTTGGGCCGACCAGAAGCCGAGGACAGGCTCTCTGGCTGCTGTCTCGTCCTCTGCCCGACTTCAGGCCCGTGCAGCTAACGAACGACGTCTCTCTGACGAGAACCCTGCTTACGCTGCACAGTTTGCATTTCGAAACCGGCTGCTTGAAAAACCGCGTTTCAGGGAGGCACGTGGCGCTAGGGTTTAGGGAAAACGGCACAAGTCTGCATCAGACCTGGGCTCCCACAATAACACCTGTTTGGAGAGGGCAGCTGCCAGTTCAAGGCTGCGCCCGTGCCCTTGCTGGTCTTTCGCTCTGACCGTTTCACGCTGGCCTTGCAACATCCTCGCGCGGTTGAGACAGAGGTGGGTGCAACGCGAGTCTGCAAGTCACTCGCCTGCTGAAGTCAGCGGCAAAGCTAGGAGCCGTTGACAAGATTAGAATCAAGACCGCGGAGCGAGCACGGTCTGTCGGGGCAGCGGCAGCGGGCTCGAGGAGGGGTGCAAGAAAGGACTCGGCTCACTACCTAGAGCGTGTCAAACGCGGCACAGGCAGATGCCCGCGCACGTTCTGCCCCGGTTTGCTGCTCGGTGCTCAGCCTCAAACGTGTCTCTGTGCGTCTCACCCTGGCTCGCTACACGCCCACGAGAGCCCCACCGCGCTGACAAGAGCCCCAGACAGACTAGTCCAGCTCTTCTTGCCTCCAAGCCCCCGAGGCTCCGGTGTGGCCGGCTCTGGCGCTGCGCTGCCCCAGGGTCGCAGCGGCTGCAG